GTTGTCCTATTGACACTATTGTGATGCATAAAGCTGAATTATTTTGGTAAATTGTATGTGGGTGGCTGTATGCCATTACATTAAAACTGGTATTGTTTAAGATGATAGTAATAGTTATAATTTATTAAGCACTTGAGAGGTACGAGGCATGTTTGTAAGAACTTATTAATTTTTGTCTAAATAAATATTCATGAATAGCCTCTAAGGAAACTACTATTATTCTCCTTAATTTTTCTATTAGGCAACTGACTCATTGAGAATTTAGCTAATTTTACCAAGGTCATGCAAAAGGATTTGTGCTTCTGGAGAATGTATAGAGTGAATGAGGGACTAGATGAGCTGCTACTCAGATTTGAAGAAATCCAGGTCAAGGGAGCCTTGATGTCTGAAGAGTAATGTCAAGAGAACTTCCCTAAATTAACAATATTATTGAGTCTCATTTCGATATTTCACGATGGTCTATACGGAAACATCTCAAGTTAAGAGAACATTGAAAATGTGATACCCTTGGGGTCTAATCATAGGGTTAGATCTGGTACCCTAATGATTAAAAGATAGGGTTTTGCCCTAAATCTGTCCACAATAGAGATCTTGTGAGGTAGACTTAAAAGAAAAAGCAAGATTTTATGTATTGAATAAGGAGTTTAAGGGGTGGCTAATATTGTTGAAGGGTTACAGAAATTTCTATCTATTGTTCTGAAAAACAAGTCCTAGAAAATCAGACGTAGAAACTTGTTCAAATAAGTTGTCACAGAAGAACAATGGTAATTTCAAGGCAAGTGTTAATAATAGTTTAGATAGGAAATAGGCATTTAGAATCTTCTAAATAGTGAATACTACACTGCAATAAGCCGTTTGGTAGGCAATAATGAATAAACTGTCCCCATTGCTTGAGAAATGCTCATAGTCCCTTAATATAGTAAAAAAAAAAAATAAAAAAAAAAAAAATTCCAGTATATTGTGAAATTTTCTATCATGTTGATAAGCATACTGCACCATTTCTATAGGTTCATGTAATCTTATATGACTGTAAAATATAGCAATACAGGTTCAATTATTTAGATGGAGTAAAAATTGAAACTTGAGCTTGAGAACCTTAGTATAGGAGACTTAACATCAGAAAAAGATGTAGGGCATGATGATCACCAATGAGCTTTGATTACTTAAGAATACAAAGGTTTATTGTAATTTAAATCAGGTTGATGGAGAATGACTAAGTAATATCTATTAGTGAGATAGTGAATTATCGACCACATATTCTATAGCTATGGCTGAGGTTAGTGGTGTAGATAAGTCAGTGCTCAATCCAAAATGATAGAGAGTCTTGCTGATAACAGACAAAATTATCATGTGGGAATATATTACATCTGAGATTACCAGAGGAAGAGTTTACCAGATTATGAGTTTCTTTGGCTAAAGTGATTTTTTATATTTAAGTTTAGAAATTTAATTTAATTCCAAAGAAGTAATTGTCTTCTGAATGTTTAATTTTCTGGGATATATTATTTTGGAGAGAAATTCTTATAAGCCATGCCTGGCATTTTGGATGGACTTTTAGTACTTTTATAGAAGAATAAATTATCTAAATTGCATTTTATGTTCCATCACCATTGTCTTTGAGTAATGAATACACATGCAATATACAGATGATATATTATAGAATCATACCCCTGATAACTATATAACTTTATTAACCAATGTCACCCTAATAAAGTTAATTAAAAGTAAACAATGCCACCCTAATAAATTTAATTAAAAATAAACAAATACTATTTTGTTCTAAAATTCTAAGATTCCTTTGTATATGTTTATTTTTCAAGGTTTCTGCTATCCTCTGGGAATTGGTACATAATTTAAAGGAGGAGAGAAACATATCCACTTAAAGGGACTGTTAAAAATCTTAGAAGGATAGGTAAAATATTTAACACAGTTTGAAACAATATTCACATGAGGAAAGTGGTATTGGTTTTATAGAATTATTTTTCTGTGCTTAATAAATTTAATCGATAAAATTAGTTCTTTCATGGAAAGGAAGTAATCATTACTTGTTGCTTTCTGTTTATTTCCACATGATTCACCATATACTTCTATAACTTTAACAACTGTTATTTGCAATCATGATTCTCTTTGTCCAGAATATCCACTTAATTATATTTATTATTTTAACTGGGAATTTTCACTGGACTATTGCAAATGCTATGAGCAACCCCATCTTTTAAATTGATATAGCACTCCATGTTTTTATAAAAGACTAATTTGTAAATATCTACCTTTTTTATCCATTGCCTGAAATCCTATAGGGTGGGGATGGTTTATTCTATTAACCCAAATGGCTAGCACATGCCTGCAACCTAGTTGCTTTAAAAATATTTTTAGAAATAATGTCTGAATGAATTTTCACAGCCATATATGAATTAGAAAGAAATTATATATCTGCAAGATTCTTATTCTGCTTATAAGAAGCTGTTAACATACATATATAGATAGATATTAAATTAAGAAAAATACTTATGAAAAATCACTATTATTTACAAGATATCATCTTAGAGTTTTAATGTATGTTATTATTATTGTTTTCTTATGTGCATGATTTAATTTGAGAAATATATATTAGTATTTCCTGAATATAAAACAATAAATGCTTGAAATAGTTTGACATCTCCTAGAAATCTAGACTGTGGTCATTGATATAAATTCTTTCAAATAGACCTGAGGGAATAATAGATATGCAGTAGTATACATGTCAAACTGAGATGATCAATTCACTATACCCAGTACAGGTTGGAGTTAGAGGGAGCCCTATTTGGAGAGAGTTTTGGTGACCATCATAATTCTATTCTCGGTAACTCTTTTTACTCAGGAATTTATATGATTTTTAAAAATAACACACAAGATTATAACCAAGAAAGAAAATAAAAGTGAAAACTGACAGCCAAGGGAGACAAGGTTTATCCTATGCTTGTGAATTTAGGGTTAAAATTAACCAATATTTGGCAATGATTATGAAATTTACAATATTTCTGCTAGAAGAAGAGGCAGGAAAACTCACATTTTCTTTGTCAGTGATGACATTACCTGGCCTATAGGCAACTTAGACCTAAATTGTTACATTTATTAAATTAAAATTTAATTATGTTATTTTTTTCTCCTTGTTAGAATTTGAGAAAATTTAGGGCAAGAATCATTCTTTTTCATGACTATATCTCCAACACCTATCATAAGTAAGTAGAGGCTGAATGAGTAAATCACACATTAGAAAGCCCTTTAACAATTCTAATATTTAACATGAATTCTATTCTTAAATTATTACAAATGAAAATGAAAGTTATCCAACTAATCTGGATTTTGTGGTTTAAGAAAAGTGCTTTAAATCCCAGTTTGGAAAGCTAAAATTTCAAACTCAGTTTCCTTCTGTTCATTCACTTATACATTAAGAATAATAATGCTAATTTTATACGAGTTTTTGTAAAATGAATATTGAATATAATTTGCCTATAAAGGAGAGTGTGTAAAATCTTAGCAACAGATGTTATTCCTCTTCCCTACTTCTGAAACCTCTAGAGTTAGTTCTAGATCTGCCAATTGAAGTTCAGTTCCCCAGAAAGTTGAACTCACACCAGTTTATCATAGTTTCGTGCATTTTAATTGATATGTTTTACGTTGTTTGTTCTGTTTTTTTTTTTTTTTTTAATTTTTGAAGGTATTTAATCTACTTAAAGAAAAATACCTGTGACTGAAAGAGAATAATAATTGCGGGTACCTCATAAAGTTATTGGCAGGATTAAATGAACCAATACAAAGAAAAAAATGGATCTGGAAAACAGTAATTGCTGCAAAAAATTTTTTTATTTTCTACCTCTCCTCCTTTTCCTTTTCTTTCTCTTTATATCATAATTATTGTTAATAGTATAAAGAATTTTAATATATGTTTCTAATCATTTAATATATTTACGTAGATATTTATATTTTGTTCCCACTCCCTGCCCTGGGTGATTGTGGTTATTTGATTTCATGCAAATGCCAAACAGAATCAACATTTTCTAATAACGTTCATTTCTATTACCTATTAAGAATGAAAAGTTCAGAAATCCACATTGTATCCTGACACTCTTTTCATCAAACTAAATATTCTATGTCTCTTCGAAAATAAACCGTTTCTACTCAAAATCATGATCATTAACCTAGATATTTTACTTCATCCAAGTAATCATTTGAATGTACAGAACATTCTGAAGCAATGTTCAGTTTTATCAAATTTATTGAGTTTAATGTTTGAGAAATTTTAATATGGAAATAAAAAAAGTATAGAGGTGCCTCAAAAACCTAAGAAATGATCTACCATATAATCCAGCAATCCTTCTACTGGGTCTTTACTCCAAAGATTTGAAAACTCATATCCAAAAAGATGTTTGCATACTGATGTTCATAGCAGCATTTTTCACAGTGGCCAGGACATGGAAGCAACTGAAGTGTTGATGATTGGCTAAAGAAGCTGTGGCACATATATACAATAGAATATTACTCAGCCATAAGAAGAGATGAAATACTGCCATTTGCGACAACGTGGATGGATCTTGAGATAATCATGCTAAGCGAAGTAAGCCAGACTGAAAAAGTAGAAAATCACATGATATCACTTATATGTGGAATATAAACCTAAAAGCAACAAATGAACAGGACGAAAAAACAGACTCAGGGACATGGACAATGGACTAGTGGTTACCAGAGGGTAGGGGGTGGGGAGGAGGAGAGAGGTAGACAGGGTAAAGGGGTCAAATATGGGGGGATAGGGAGAGGGTGAAGTGGGTAAAGGGGATCAAATATATGAAGTAATCTGGACTTTGGGTGGTAATCACACAGTAGAATATATATATGTCAAATTATATAATTGTATTAACCAATGTTACCCCAATAAACTTATTAAAAAATTTAAAAAAGAAAATAAACTCTTCAAGAAATCTAAAAAAAAAAATTTTGTTCTTTTAACAGTATTAATACTTTCATTTACTAGAGAAAAACATAATCTTTTGGATAGTATCCTTAAAGGCTTGCTTCATTTGCTGGTTCCTCAGGGTGTATATAAATGGATTCATCGTAAGAGCAATGGAGGTATTCAGAATGGCTACTCCTTTGGTCAATGATGCCTTTTCTTTTGCTGAAGGGTTAGCGTACATGAATATGCAGCTTCTGTAAGAGATGGAAATGACAATCATGTGAGAGGAGCATGTATAAAATGCCTTTTTCCTCTGACTGGCAGAAGGCAGTTTCAGAATTGCCCTAATAATGAACATATAGGATAGAATTATTAATGTCAAAGTGAAAAGGAGAATCGCTATTGCAGAGTAAAAACCAATCACTTCTAGGAACCAGGTGTCTGAGCAAGATAATTGCAAGAGGGCAAAACAGTCATAAGAAAAGTGATCAATGACATTGGAGCCACAGTAATCTAACTGGAGAAAAAAAAATTAGTGGGAAGATATTTAAGAATCCTGCCAGCCAAGCACAAAAGACAAGTGACATGCAGACTCTTTTGTTCATGATGGTTGTATAACGCAGGGGTTTGCAGATGGCCACATAGCGATCATAGAACATGGCGGTTAGAAGATAGATTTCAGTTATACCCATGAAAATGAAGAAAAACAATTGAGCTGTACAATTGTATGAAATAGTTTTTTCTCTGGTGATAATTGTGCCCAGAAATCTCAGAATACAGACATTTGTAAAGGATATTTCTAAAATAGAGAAGTTCCTGAGGAAGAAATACATAGGTGTCTGTAGATGGGAGTCCACCAAGGTTAGGGTGATGATGGTCAAATTTCCAGTGACAATTAATACATATGTAATAATTAAAAAAAGAAAAATCACAATCTGTAGCTCTGGGTCATCTGATAGTCCTAGAAGAATGAATTCTGTGGGTACTGTGTTTTTCATTGCCGATTCTTTTTCCTCCCCTTTAGAACAGAAAATATATGTTCCCCCTTCAGAACATAAAAAATCAGAATTGAGGCTAGACTATAAAATTTAAAACATATTCTTGATGAATAATCTATGAAATTCAAAAACACATGTTCTCCTTTAGCAACCTTCTTCGACTTCTATTTAACCTTGCATTAAAGTAATGAATAGTACCCGAAATTAAATATTTATCTTTTTTCTTTGAAAATACACAGACTGTGGATTAAAAAAATCTTGTGCTAACATTTAAACAGAAGCTATTTCTTCTATAGTTCTTTAAAATTAAGTTTCTAATTATTCTTTAAAAGATTTAGCTCCTTTTATTATAATATGTGAAAATATATAATTTTTATTTTCCTTTTCTGAATATTATAAAAAACAGTCTAGATTGTGGGTAACCTAAATACAGAATTTGAAAGCTTACAGAGATTATTCAGGCCTGCCTTCACGTTTTATATTTGGCACACATAATTTAGAAAACTTTTACAAAGTTAAACAACTAGTCAACATAGTCATCATCTTATTTTAGAACACACATGTTTATCCATGGGAATGTTTTGTTGGCATTCTCTACTACATTATTTTCTTAAGAGTTTGGTTGATGCTATCACCCTCCCCACAACATTTTTTTCCCTTTTCTGATAAAAAGGCCAGACAAACAAGAAAGGTAAACTTGTTATTAAAATAAATAGTTATTATAATAAATAATTGCCTAGAAACATTTTAATTCATACAATGTACAATTCATTCTTTTGTTTATAATATTGCTATAACAAAGGAACAAGTAGATGGTCAATATTACATTTATTGAGAAAGATATTCTTTTTAATAGGGGATGTCTTTTTATAATCCTATCTTATAATAGAATACCATTAAATTTAGAAAACAGTAATGAACAATCCAAGACTTTCTTCTGGGTTCCTGTTTTAGGGCTCTGTTAATAGTCTTTTTGGTAGTAAACAAGTATTTAACTTTTAATATTGAAAGGAATGTAAATCTACAAAAAATCTATGCAAATAATACCTTAGAACATTTAAATAAAATGGAATATTATGTTGTAGAATAACAAATTTACTTACTTCCTGGTTCTTCTTGATGATTTAGCCTTAAATTTAATCATCTGATTTGCTTAAATGTTTACATAATTTCAGAGCTAGTAAATTGAATTAGCAAGTTATTTGATTTCTATTGTATATCAAAACAAGTGTGGTGATTTAATTTTTTCACGGCTCTCAGGGATCATAGTTCTCTGTTGGTATATTAGTAATATGTGACCCACAATATCTTTCATTCTAAGTGTTGTAAAATTTTTGGAACAATTTATAATAAAACTCATTTCTGCTTTTTGTCTCTCACCCAAGCTCTGTGTACAAGCTCAGTTACACGTGGCAGACCAGTACTCTTTCATTTGCCCCCTTTTCATGCAACATAAAACATTTATTAAACTTTTTTTGTATTTATGCAAAAATTTTAAATGAATGTTTTGTAATTCTATGATTATACATCTATAAAATCTAAGTAATGTTTTCATTAGGCATAAGAGATTTATATTTTCCTGCAAATATTGTTTTGAAAAATAGAAATAGAATGTCCTGTATATGTACCATACAATGGAACTGGACTTATTTTATCTGTGTCTTTCTTCTTGGCTCAGGGGAATTCATTAAGTAAACAAAGTGCCAAGGAGAGACATAATTAAAAGATATGGGCAAATTACTTTTATAAATATAATAAAATATAAAAAAATAAAATAATTGAGGTAATGAGACAAATATATAAACAAGAGGCGATATTGAGTACGTGAAAGTTTGATTTAGAATTTGACTCTCCTATGATTGTACAAGAAATCCATACTTTTCTAAATTCTGGACTTAACCTCAAGAGGGTTCATGTGCTAATATCCTTTGAATTTTGGCAAACTATGGAGTTCTCTGCCATACTAGAATAAAATCTAGAAAACACTGCTTTGGATTTCTGGTGTGATTTGATTGACTTCTGATATGGACAACATAATAAAGTCTGATGAGGAATTTTTTTCCAGTATTGACCCTTTTGATTCAGAGAAAGCTTTCCCATGGCCCATGGCTAATATCACATCGATATTTGCTATGAGTTATTTTTATTGCTTTTGACTGCTTTCTTTCACTATATCTTTTACTTTTATTAGATCTTAATGTTAAATTCCTTTGCCAATATTTGTGAATATGACATCTTCTCACTGTGAGACTATTTATGGACCAAGAAAATAAATATTTGGAAATCAGGCTTTGGATCTTTTAACTTATTTTCCTACTTTTGTAATGAGAGATAAAAGTTTTATTACAAGAAGAATATAATACTCATATACTATATATAGATGTAAGTGTAATACGATTTTTACATTTAGCAATTTATCCTTATTTTCTTCATATTTATAAATATGGACATAAGTCATGTATGCATTTAATGCTAGAAGTGAAGATTTTTTTATAGGATTTAAACATGAGAGTATTTGAAAGTGGGACAGAAAAAAGACAAATAGGAAAGGTTGAACAAACTACTAGTTAATATATAGGACAATATGTAGACATTGAAATGTGTTGATTTATAATTCATACACATTAAAATAAGCATTAAAAGTATTTATTCAATATATTTTAGTAGAAATAGTGAACCTGATTTTCTACTTATGAAATTCTATTCATTTGTCTTTTTTTGTATCCTAAAAGTGATTCTATTCATATTTTGTATCTTAAGCTCCTTAACAATAATGTAGCAATATATATATATTTTTGATTACAGGCATTGACTACACACTTAAATTAACGCATTTTTTTCCCCAAATAGACAACAAAAACCCTTTGAAATGAGTATTTTTATTATTCAGATAAAGAGTTAAAGCAGAAAGAAGTTAGTTAAGGATCTTGTCTTTACCACATGTGTATTTGTGAGCAATCTTTATTGATTGTCTTCAAGGAAAAGGAAGTAAATTTCATTTGAAAAATCCTATTAGACCTTTTTTTCATATGTTTTCTCAGTCTTCTAGATGCTGAATTGCCTGTCTCTCTTTCTTCCTTGATCATTCTCTCGCTCTCTCACTTTCTACCTTTACTTTTTTATTCCTAGTTCTTGATAGCTCTCCAGTTTTTTTCTAGGCCTCCTAATAATTTACTTTTAAATTTAGACTGATTTATTACACTCTTATCCACAAGCTAGTAGGACATCTACTTTTTAATAATGTCTCCAATTACCTCTAAAGTATTATGAGGTTGATGAGTGACTATATTTTTTTATCTTTAAATTTATTGGGGGTGACATTGGCTAATAAAATTATATAGGTTTCAAGGGTATAGCTCAATAATATGTCATCTGTATATTGCATTGTGTTCACCAGGCAAAATCAAATCTCCTTCTGGAGTGACTATGTTTTAAGCCAATGAAACACATAATTCAGCCACCAAGTTTTACTTTCCTTAGAGAGTGCACGAAGAATTTCAATTACAAATAGTATATTACTGTAGCATGTTCAAAATCCAAAATAAAGTTTATTAAATTGCAGTGGTTAAAAGATCCAACTATTTTAAGACTTTCTCTGAAAATTAGGCAAACATCACAATATTATTGACTATATTCCCCTTCACCTTTTTCACCCATTCCCCCAAACCCTTCTCCCTGGTGGCTATCTTCTTTGATCTCTGTTTCTAAAAGTCTTTTGTTTTGCTTTGTTTTTTAAGATTCTACATATAAGTGAAACCATATGGTATTTGTCTTTTTCTGCCTGGCTTATTTCACTTAGCATAATACTCTCTAGGTCCATCATGCTGTTGCAAATGGCAAGATTTCATTCTTTTTTTTATTGCTTCATAATATTCCATTGTATGCCACATCTTTTTTATCCATTCATCCATAGATGAACACTTAAGTTGCTTCCATATTTTGGCTACTGTAAATAATGTTACAATAAACGTAGGGATAAATATATCTTTTTGAACGAGTGTTTTCGTTTTCTTTGGATAAATACCCAGAGTGGATTTGCTGAATCATATGGTATATTTATTTTTAGTTTTTTTGAGGAATCACCATACTGTTTTCCATAGTGGCTGCACCAATTTGCAGTCCTACCAACAGTACACAAAGGTTCCCTTTTCCCCAAATCCTCACCAACGCATGTTGTTTGCTGACTTTTTGATAATAACCATTCTGACTGGTGTAAGATGGTATCTCATTTTGGTTTTGAATTTGACTTCCATGATGATTAATGAACATCTTTTCATATGCTTGTTGTATATTTCTCCAATTCTCAAGGGTTATTTTTTGCAAGAAATGGTACACAGAGCCCCAAATCTGGATGCTTTATGGGTTTCTTGCTATTGGGTTATCATTATACCTTGCAACTTTTATGGAACAAAGAAAGGAAATACGTTTAAAAAATAATAGTCTCACATTGATGTTTCTTATTCCAGTCTAGTAACAGAATTTTCCCACTTCTTCTCTTATACCACATTTATATCTCTTTTCCTTCACAGTGCAACTGTAACTCCAACAACAATCTGCTAACCTATCAACTACTCAGTTCTGCAACACACACAGAATTGTTATACTCCTATTATTATGAAAACACTCTACCAAATAAAGTTCATTTTTTTTTGTGGTGTCTGTCCTACTGACAACCAATTGTCAAAATATTATCTTGCAAAATTACATGTATCAGTTCTTTGTTCTTCCCCCTACATGGTTATCAACTTGTTTTAAAATTATGTTTACTTGTGTTTTCAATTTTAGGGTTTTTTTCCCCTCATTCTTCTTCATGAAATTCTGTCTTTGGAATATGCAAAACCATGAGGATATTTCAAAACTTAAAACTACCTAAACAGGTATCCTCAGAAATAGATCACTTATATTTTTAACTACATTGATCTTTCTCTTCACGCCTGAGTGCATGTTTTAATTATAGAAGTTTTATGTTATACTTTAGTATCGCTATGGTTAGTCCTTTC